GCTCAGTTAATCATAGAATCCCTACAGTGCAGGGAGAGGCCATTCAGCCCTTCAAGTCCACACCAGCCCTCTGAAGTGCATCCCACCCAGACCTAACTCCTACCCTATCCATGCATTTCGCCATGGCTAACCCACCTAGCCCGCCAATCCCTGGACACTATGGGCAATTTAGCATGGCCAATCCACCCTAACCTGCACATCTGACTGTGGGAGGAAACTTGAGCACCTGGAGGAAACCCACGCAGGCACAGGGAGAATGTGCAAACTCCACACAGACAGTCACCCGAGGGTGGAATCAAACCCAGGTCCCTGGTTTCATGAGGCAGTAGTGCTAACCACTGTGCCACCATGCCACCCACTGCCATAATTTTTTTTGACGTTGACCAGGTCCCCTCCCCCTGCTGTTTTTTAATTAGTGGCATCAGTCCTGAGGGTGAAAGATAAAGGACCTCAATTTAACATCTCGCCTGAATGAGTGCCAATTATTATATATTACACTCAACCCTTGACGACGCCCAACCCTTCAATTGTACACCAATAATAATTCACCACTCCTATGTAATTTACATTTCTCAACTGGCCAGGGACAAGCCATGAGGCAAACACAGAGAGAGTGCTGGAGAAACTCTGCAGGTCTAGCAGCATCCGTGAAGAGAGAGACAAGAGTTAACGTTTCCAGTCCGGTGACTCTTCAGAACTCTACCAGACTCAAAACGTTAACTCTCTCTCCACTTTCTCTGTTTCTGTTTCAGATTTCCAGCATCCACAGTATTTGGCTTTTATTATAGAAGTAAGCCCTAGGCAGATTCCCAGAGTTCCTGAAGTTCAGAAGAATGAGAGGCGATCTCCTTAAAACATAGAGGATTCTTAAGGGGCTTGACAGGGTAAATGCTGAGAGGATGTTATCCCTCATGGGACAGTCTAGGACCAGAGGGCACAGTCTCAGAATAATGTGGCACCAATTTAAGACTGAGATGAGGAGGGATTTCTTCTCTCAGAGGGTTGAGAGTCTTTGGAACTCCCTGCCACAGAGAGCTGTGGGGCAGAGTCCTTGTGTGTATTTAAGGCTGAGATAGAGAAATTCTTAGTCAGTCCGGGTTTCAAGGGAAAGGGCAGGAAAGTGGACACGAGGAATGTTGGGTCAGCCACAATCCAATTAAGTGGCAGAACAGGCTGAACAGCTGACTTCTGTTTCTATTTCTGATGGTCTTTTAGCTCCAACATTTGTAATCCTGGATTTTTTTTTCGTCTTTTGTCAAAAATTCTTTTATAAAGCCTTTTACAGTAAGAGTGCCAAGTGAAGGTGCCTGTCCTTGACTGAGGTAAGTAGAAGGTGCTGGGGTAGGAGGCAGGGTAAGGGAGATTGGGATGTGGTGTTTGGATTGTGACGAACCAGCCACACAATGAAGACAAGAGTGAACGTGATTCTGGTAAACATTTGGCCCAATTTTACCGTCATATCATCTCCTAATAAGGTAATGTGTTCATGACTGAAAGAATGTTTCTAAATCTTCATCTTTTCAGATTCTTCTTGTTTATGCTCTCAGACCGAGGGAAGTATTTGGCAGATGTTCAGCGGCTGATTCCAGCCCGATAAACCAATCAGATCCCAGATTAATTGGTGATAGTTATTAACTCCCAAGAATTCACTGTTTTTGACAAGCTTTGTAAACTTTGCTCCAAAAGTATCTGTTAACGAGGAAAGCCAGCTGCCTGGATGTGAGTTTCTTCAGCAGGAGAGGTGAGGAATGTTGAAGAGTCCCATGGAAGGTTATGGTCTGGGAGACATAAACCTCTCCAATCTCAGTTCAAGTCTAGGCTCCCGGGGTTGACCCTGCTAATGAGGAGTAAAGTGAGGTTAACTTTGATTATCCTAGCACCACCCCATGTCAGGCTTTTTGACTGAACTACATGGTACTTACAGCATATCTACAATTCACCAATTCTCCTCAGGCAGCACCTTCCAAACCCACGACCACTTCCATCTAGAAGGACAAGGGCAGCAGATACATGGGAACACCACCCCCTGTAAGTTCCCCTCCAAACCACTCACCATCCTGACTTGGAAATATATCGTCTCTCCTTCAGTGTCGCTGGGTCAAATCCTGGGCTTGTCTTCCTCAAAGTGCCTGTGTGCAGCGGTTCCATTTTCTCCAGGGCAATAATGGATGGGCAATAAATGCTGACCCATTAAAAAAATGACCCTCAATCTAGCTGGTGTTCATACTACTAGTGAGCTAGCTTCCATCCCTCACCCCAGCAGCACTTTCTCCTGTTCAAATACCCTGTCACATATTTGGTCTATTTACAGAATATAGGAACAGGATTAGGCCATTCAGCCCCCTGTTCCACCATTCAATCAGATCCTGGCTGATCTGTGATCTAACTGCATAGACCTGCCTTTGGCCTATATCCCTTAATGTCTTTGCTTAACAAACATCTACTCCTTGTGTGTAGAGGGGTGGCACGGTGGCTCAGTGGTTAGCACTGCAGCCTCACAGCACCAGGGACCCGAGTTTGATTCCACCCTCGAGTGACTGTCTGTGTGGAGTTTGCACATTCTCCCTGTGTCTGCGTGGGTTTCCTCCGGGTGCTCCGGTTTCCTCCCACAGTCCAAAGATGTGCAGCTTAGGGTGGATTGGCCATGGGAAATTGTCTATAGTGCCCAGGGATGTGCAGGCTGGGTGGGTTGACAATGGGAAATGCAGGGTTACAGGGATAGGGTGTTGGATTGGGTCTGTGTGGGATGCTCTTTGAGGGTTGGTGTAGACTCAATGGCTCCACACTGTAGGGATTCTATGAAGTGCTTCCTAACATCTCTCCTTAATGTTCTAGTCCCAAGCTTCTATAGAATACAAGGTGGAAAACAGCATTCTGTGGTGACTATTAAGGGGTTATTTACAGGCAAAAGAAAAATGTAAGTAGTGTGGAAGTGTTTCAGCTTCGATGTGCCTCTCCCAGTTCGAGGCATACAGGCAGCGAAATGGCATGGTAACTGACACTAAAATTTACTCGCTTAATTCCAATTCTGATCCTCCCCAGAGCTGGCAGCAATTTCTTTCTCCCTCCTCTCCTATCAAACCCTTTCAGAATGTTAAAACCTCAATCAGCCTTTGCTGCTGATTAAGAAAGGAGGCTGCACAGTTCATTCTGTCGTGTCGGTCACATGGAGGACAGGAATGTAAAAGGAACGAGGGAGCTTGATCAGGATAATATGGAGGAAGTAGGCTCCAGCCAAAGACAGGAGTGTTGAGGACTGGGAGCAGAGGCTGCAGATGAGCAGCAAGGGCTGTGTTCCAGAAAATTGTTCCCCTGTTGTTGTCGCGTAATTCTTTGAAGTTTGCATCACATAGAGTGGTTAAAAGGGCATTTGGCTTGCGAGCCTTCATTACTCAGTCCTTTGAGTATAGGAGTTGGGACGTCATGTTGAGGGTGTACAGGACATTGGGTGAGACCTCTCCTGGAATACCGTGTCCAGTTCTGGTCACCCAGTTATAGGAAGGATATTATTGAACTGGTGAGGGTTCAGAATAGCTTTACCAGGATGTGGCTGGGTATGGAAGGTTTGAGTTATAAAGAAAGGCTGGATAGGTTGGGACTTTTTTCACTGGAGCGTATGAAGTTGACAGGTGACCTTATGGAAGTTTATAAAATTATGAGGAGTGTGGATTCCCTAGGATGGGTGATTTCAAGACTGGGGCACATTTTTAAAGTGAAAAGAGAGGAAATTAAGAAAAAAACATGAGGGGCAATTTTTTGGGGTGGTTCACATGGAATGAACTTCCTGAGGAAGTGGTGGATGCGGGTACAGTCACAACGTTTAAAAGACATTTAGATAAGTACATGAATAGGAAAGGTTTGGAGGGATATGGGCCAGGAGCAGGCAGATGGGACTAGTTTAGTTTGGGATTATGTTCAGCACGGACTGGTTGGGCCGAAGGGTCTGTTTCCATGCTGTATGACTCTATGGTTATATGACTTGCTGATAAAGAGTTGTGAATTCTCTCAATTGCTCCCTCTGCTGACCAACTGCAGGAAGCTCTTTCCCAACATTTTCAATTGATTAACAGATGGGGGCAGCTGTGACGGGGGAATGAGTGCCAGGGGCATTGGCACAGTGCGAGTTATTTTAACACTTCGCTGAGCTGGTGCCAAAATCAGCTTCAGAGGCCATGGCAACCCAACAATGTAAACATTTGCTGCTAAAAATGGTGGCTGCAATCTTTGTCTCCATTAGTAACACAATTCCAAAACCAAAAGAAACAAAAGGATTGCATTGCTGTAGCAGCTTTTTCAACCTCAGGGGGTGCCAGAAGCTTCAGAACCAAGCCATCAAATTGAAGTCAGTGCTGTTATGTAGGAAATGAGGCAGCGAATTTGTGCACAGCAAGTTTCTACAAGCAGGAGACATAAAGGGCTCTCATGGCACAGTTCAAATCCCAGCTGTTCCAGAGGTGTGTCTGAAGAGGTTGATTAGAAAATATGGCTCATCAACAGGAATGGGATAATGACCCAGGGAGATATTCCCTAATCAATCTGTTCAGAGATATTTATTGCACGCCTGTCGAGCAGGTAAGACGTGAACCATGATCCCCTGGCTCAGAGACAGAGACACTACCGCTGCACCACAAGAGTCCATTGAAGGTTAAATATGAGCCTCAGGGCCCTGTTCTTTGGCAATGTTACCGAATCTTTGATCACCTCCCGAGAGATCAAGTAGGAGCTTGCTTTCCAGTCTGATTCCAAAACAAAGGCACATTCTGTCTGAACTACACCTCACTGGAAACTGACTGTCTGGCCATGATCACTTTGCTGTTTGTGAGATCTTGCTGTGCACAAAATGTCTGCCACATTTCTTACGACGGGGACCACCCTTCAAAAGTACACCAGTGGCAGTGAAGCAGCCAGGGACTTTTTGGGGATCTGTAATGTTCTATATAAGTGCTGGAAGGTCCCCACTGTAATGGGGGTGACCGGTCTCCATCTAGTTCCTAAACCTGATGGTGGGTTTCTCTTTCTCTCGGCGTCCTGTAGGTAACTGCGGCAAGTGCCGAAGGGTTCGTGGAAAATCAAACCGCATCAGGCAGTACTGTGAGAGAGATTTTGGTGAGTCCTTTCTCCAATCTTTATTCTCTTTATACAAACTGAAGGTCGTCCCTTCAGCCCAACCTCCCCCGATCATTCCCAGTGACTGGGCTTTCCCACTGATCCTGCACGGCTCAGAGTCAGAACTTGGAGTTCTGTGGCTGGTTTTCCCAAACACGTTCTCACTGCCTCAAACTTTGCAATGGTATGTACGAGTTTGAATTAGAATTAGATTTTATTGTCACATAGACTCAAATATAGGAATTCATGAGTACGGTGAAAAGTGCACAATGTAACCATTCTCCAATGCCCTGTTGGTTACCAAAAAACACAGCAGGATATAAAGAAAACCAAAGGCAAGAAAAACATCCAGATCTTAAAGTCTAAGTCTTATCTCTGTAAAGGTTAGATGAGATGTGATGGCTCAGCAGATCCTCAACTGCACAGAAAGAGTGAACAGTGACAGTTCTGTGAAAAGTTCCAATGTGGTTCATCGCCCAGTTCTCTGACAGTACCGCGGCTGTCTCTTATCCAGTTTACATCTTTGGGGTCCAGAGAGAGGGAGCTGTGCTGAGTCCCTGAACTCAAGTTGCTACACCAGGCTGGAGGTTGCAGAGAGCTGATGGGCAGAGTGACCATCCTGTGGGCAATAAAGGGAACAATCAGCCAAGGCCAGTACCCTGACCCGTGTGAGGGCACAAACAGAGGGCAGGCCAGTGTGAGCAGATGGTGCATGAAATAACTCCACAGAGGCCGGTATCCCATCACCAAGTCACCCTTTATTTACACATGGAGAGTCCTTGACACAGATCCAGCTCTCTCAGAGCCAGCTCTCAGAGTGAGCAGAACCTCGGATACTCCTGTTTATGTCTGTCAGCCAGGGCTCCCTGATTGGACCAGGTTAACAGCCCCAATCAGGGAACTCACATTCTATGAGGTCCATGTGGCTGACCTTGTTTCAGTGCCAATGGCTTCACAGGAGACACGGTGAGGTGCTGGAGGGGATGGTTGGTCCCAATGCAATGTGCATTGGGATTTAGCACCTTCAGGAAATCAGGGGGATAACGTTGGGTCCATTCGCAGGCTCAGTGGGGATGAAATCAACAAGAATCATTGGGTAGGGGGCTCATGGGATGGAGTGAACTGTTGTTTTTACACTGTGTGTGACACTGACATCTATTCCCTTTAATGGGGAGGGATAATGAAGGGGTAAATTCAATGTATGGAAGCAGCGATACTACTGATATCCCCATCAGTTTCCCAATGGGACAAGTAACATTCACACCAGATAAATGCCAGGCAAAGATCAGCTCCAATAAGAGAGAATCTAACTACTTGACATTCAATGGCATTACCATCACTGAATTCCCCACTATCAACATGCTAAGGGCTACTATTGACCAGAAACTCAACTGAACACACCATACATTGGCCACAAGAGCAGGTCAGAGTCTAGGAATACTGCAGCGGATACGTCACCTCCTGACTCCCGAAAGTCTGCCCACCATCTACAAGGTGCAAGTCAGGAGTGTGATGGAATATTCCCCACTTGCCTGGATGGGTGCAGCCCCAACAACACTCAAGAAGTTTGACACCATCCAGGACAAAGTAAGCCCACTTGATTGGCACTAGACACATATGCATCTACTCTCCCTACTACTGATGCTCAGTAGCAGCAGTGTGTACTATCTACAAGATGCCCTGCAGAAATTCACCAAAGATCCTCAGACAGCACCTTCCAAACCCACGATCATTTCCATTTAGAAGGACAAGGGAAGCAGATACATGGGAACACCAGCCCCTGCAAGTCCCCCTCCAAGCCATTCACCATCCTGACTTACAAATATATTATATATTCAGTGTCATTGGGTCAAAATCCTGGAATTCGCTCCCTTAGGGCATTGGGGTCAACCCTCAGTACATGAACTGCAGCAGTTCAAAAAGGCAGCTCATCACCACCTTCAGAAGGGCAATTAGGGATGGGCAATAAATGCCAGACCCAGCCAGCAGCACCCTGCCCCACAAATGAATTTTAAAAATTGGACAGCTTCACAACAAGTTGGCTGGAGAAATGGTGCTGAATCTTCCAACTCCTCTTTCCTCCCAGCCTTGCACGTGAGGATTATTAATAAAAGAATCATCGGGCTGGAGACACGTTATGACGTTGATGTGCTGAAGGCCTACAAGAAAAGCTTTGCTCTCTTAAGGCGGGAGTATCTGTGGGTCCCGAATACCTGTGACTGTCCCCGAATGGTCGAGATGAAGCAGTATGTGGTGATGGCACGCCGACATGTGAACTATGAGCGGACACTGAACCGGATTCTGCTGGAGGCAGACAGCTTTGTCCGAAGGTACAGGCCTCGGGAGGACAGACTCATGAGGGGCCTGGATGGGGAGTGTGAGAAGCAGGGATACCAGCTCACAGTTAACAGACTTGGATAAGTATCAAGCCAGCCTCAGTGGGCTCTGTGACTGCTCTGGTGACTGTCTGCAGACTGGGTGTGAGAGACGAGGGTGGGGGGAGGCAGGGGAATGCAGTAGGGTCTCTGACACTTTACGGCAAACAGAGGGTTAGGTGGGAGGCTTGCCTCAGACACTGCACACTCTCACAGAGATCCTGCGAGCCAATCTGATCCATGGTTTTGGATGGCTCTGCTGGCTCCACATAGTGTATAAAACCCAATCTCTGGGTGACTCACACGCTCCAAGCTGTGTCATGAGTTCAACTGTTTTTTTGGCTCCACAGGAAATTTAGAGGGAAGAGAGTTGATATTTTTAACACACGTCAGCTCAGTCCGGTCAAAGGCATGCTCAACGGATTGGGTTACAACTGATCGCTGCAATTGGTCACTGCAACTGATCACTCTGATCACTGCGATTGGTCACAGCCATCGCTGCGATTGGTCACAGCCATCGCTG